TTTTTGTTTTCTCTAAAGTAGTACCTTACATGGTCTTTTGTTTTTTTTTCCTGAGTATTAATTCTTACATATAGGGAGTACTGTATTCTTGTTCTAGCAGCTAACTTTATAATTACAACTTTCTGTCTTTAGTTCTCTTTTTTTTTTTTTTTTACAGAAGAACCTGAGAGCTAAGCAGTTCTCTATTTTCAACACTATTTACTAATCTCCTACCATAAGTAATGATAGAATTAATATATTTCCTTATTCTTCCCTTTCCCTTCTCCTTTTTTTTTTTTTTAAAAAGATGACCAGTAAGGGGATCTTAACCCTTCACTTGGTGTTGTCAGCACCATGCTCACCCAGTGAGCCACGGGCCGGCCCTCCCTTCTCTCTTTTTAATCTCCCACTTTTTTTTTTTTGGTCTTTTTTCGTGACCGGTAAGGGGATTGCAACCCTTGGTGTGGTGTTGCCCACACCGCGCTCAGCCAGCTAGCGCACAGGCCATTCCTATATAGGATCCGAACCCGCGGCAGGAGTGACGCTGCGCTCCCAGCGCTGCACTCTCCCGAGTGCGCCACGGGACTGGCCCTTTTTTTTTTTAAATTAAAACGAGAGTTGTATTGATAATACTAACAACAAATACAGAGTTAGACATGGAGATAGTATACATCTTTAATATATTTTTCAGAAAAGTTAGGAATCAAGTCATTTCATAATTCATTTGACCTGAATGAGTGGGAAATTGCCATTTCACTTTTTAAGGTACTTATACTGATGTATAATTTACGTGCAGCAAACCTCACCCTTTTTGGTGGATAGCTCCATGTGCTTTTGATAAATACATTCAGTTGTGTAACCACCACCACAATCAATATAGATAGGATCTATCACCACAAACTTTATCACTCAACTTTAAACAACAGTATCATTTCAAATTTAGCTCTGTAATGTTAAATGTACTTATAGTTCTACTATTTGATCTGTCAGCTTTAAATAATATTACACAAATTCTTGCTATTAAAAATAAAGCAATTGAAGTATAAACATTTCCTCTCACCTGCCTTCTGCTTCCCCCTTCCAATTTTTGTGGATGTACTATTTGACATTCTTAAGATATTAAACATTTACATTCTATGCTGTCATCCTAAAATATACATTTGTTTTAGTCTTAGTCACTACAAACATTTTCCTAGTTTTCCTCCTCATATCTTGGTTGGTTGAGTATAAAACACTACAACTTCTGACACACAATTAGTGGTTAGTAAATCTTAGCTAGAAATAGTAGAAGTGGTCTTCAGTAAACCTGCTTTCATTAACTTTACAAAATTAGTTTTATTTGTTAGTAGCAAATGAGTGCCTCTAAAGTACTATGGAATTGCTTGTGATAACAGGGAGGATGAACACCCAAGTATTGGTTGACTGTGTTTTATAAAGCCTTTACTCCATGCTATTATATACATAGTGAAACATAAATTAAACCTAAACTCATGTAAAAATAAATCATGCTCCCATCATGTTTATATGGGCCTTCAATATTCTCCTTCTCTCATAATGCAATAAATTGTTCTGAAGTCTATACACTACTAATTGCTTAGTAAATCATTCCTTCAGAAAAACCTAAAAGAAAACGTTGCAATAAAGGAATGAGCATCTAAATGATTGCTGATATTTATCAAGACATGCTCAAATACACAAATAGGCTAAACCATTTAATGTTACTCTTTTCTTACATTTCTTTCTTTTCTCTTGATTCTGTTAACAACTTTCAACAGCACTGTTTAAGCAGTTAAATGCTGCCCCTTCTTCAATATACCTTCAGATTATCTTAACATTAATATTAGCTATATAAAAATACGGAAAGATCTAAACTTATGAGCCTCCTCTTTATGCCTCTGATGATGGGAAATAGCTTTGCCATTGTTCACATTGCTGTAGGTTCTTAATGAATTTCATCAAGAATTCAATTTAAATATATTAAGTTGCTGTCAATTCTTCAGTAATATCAATGAATACCATTCAGGGAGGTATGGAAGCAGTTATCTGAGCCTTCCGTAGAACTTCAAGGCAAGAATCAGACTTTTTAAAGTGCATGTTTATAGGAAAACAGCAAAGTTCCCTGAAAACATGAATACTGGAGACATTTAGATCTAAGTTAAAAAAAAAAAAAATCAAGGCTTGGCTACTTAACATGTGTCATCCTGGAAATTTTATGAGATTGTTTCTAAAAATCTCAAAGGGCTGTTGTGAGGATTACATTTAATAACATAAATAAAGGTAGAATATATTATTTGGCATCTAGTAGACAATCAACAAATGATAGACAATATTGCCTTTTAGTCATTAAGTCATTTTCCATTTAGTCACTGAAAAAACAAAGCCACTGCAATTATAGAAAGATATAGCCATCTGTTACAAGGTAAGATAGGGCTAAACGCAGTCCCTCCTTATTCAAGGTTTCCTTTTTGTGGTTTCAGTCACCCGTGGTCAACTGCCACAGTCTGAAAAATATTAAATGGAAAATTCCAGAAATAAGCAATTCATAAGTTCTAAATTGTGCACTGTTCTGAGTAGCGTGATTAAATCTCTTGCCATCCCACTCTGTCCTGCTGGGACATGAATCATCATCTCTTTGCCCAGTGTATCCAGTGCTGTAGACACTACTAACCCCTTAGTCACTTAGTAGTTGTCTCAGATATCAGAGCAACTATGGAGGTATCATAGTGCTTGTGTTCAAGTGACCCTTATTTTATTTAACAATGGCCCCAAAGTGAAAAAGTAGTGATGCTGGCAATTTGGATATGCCAAAAAGAAGCCATAAAGTGCTTCCTTCAGTGAAAAGGTGAAGGTTCTCAACTTAGTAAGAAAAGAAAAAGAATCGTATGCTAAGATTGCTAAGATATACAGTAAGAACGAATCCTCTCTCTGTGAAATTGCGCAAAAAGAAGAAATTCATGCATATGGTTAAGTATTATCCATGGTTTCAGGCATCCACTGGGATCTTGGAACATTTCCCCCTATGGATAATGGGGGACTACAATATCCAAAAATTCTAGCCAGGTTCATGACAGTGATCAGGAACATATCTTGAAATGGTTGCAAAAAATACAGTGATAAAATGAGCACATTTTGAAAAAGAAAGGAAATTCATTTAAATGTTGTTACAAAAAAAACCTCTATTGTTCCAGATAATTTTCTCTGCATTTTATGTTTTGGCCTTCCTGATTTTTGATTGTACCATAACTGCCAATGTAATTTCATAGAATCTCGATGGGCAGGAGGTATAACTATGGCCAAATGACACTAGTTCAAAATGCCTCATCCACTTTCATGTAAGTTTTATCAACTGTACTCTGACCCAGGAAAGAAACCATTTGTTGATCATGAAGCTTTGAGAAAGGGAAAGTGCAGGGAGAGGTAAATGAAGGGGGACAGTTGCTATTCAATTTAGTTTTAATGATTCAATTCGGCAAACATGTATGATGTTCTATCTATGTTCCAGAAGCTGTGGAGCTTGTTGAAGAGCCAAAGATAAACAAAACTTAATCCCTGCCCTGAAAGACAACATTTTGTTTGGTTGGTTCACAGCAGAAGGCCTGTAGAAACACAGTCTCACTCTGAATACGAAGAGTTAACATGATTAAATGTTTTCCAGAGACATAAGAAGAAAGCCTTCTAAATTTAGTGGGACCCATTTATAAATACTGATTGAGTAGGCTGTGCTTTAAAAACTTATTAGAAACAAAGTAGTTGCTACCTTAAATGTTCTCATTAAATCACTCAGAAGCTGGGTTTATATATTTAGTATAGTCACGGAAAATTTGCCATTAAAGTGAATAATCTATAACTTAGTATGAATATGGTACTGGAAAAAAAGGAACTAAAAATTAAAAGAAGTTTCTGTTAGATTTTGATTTTAATATTAAAAAGCTTCCAAACCTAGTTCTTAGGTTTTTATGGGAAAAAAGGAAACAAACTTTTTATAAAAAGTGTTCTCGAGAATACCCTTAACTTGGAGTCCTGCATATCTTACATGATGTTCTACTTTCAACTGAACAGTAAATGAATGTCTTAAAACTTCTTCTAATGGAAACATCTTTCATCTCTACTGGAAACTTTCTCAGCCATGCATAGTTTATTTGAAATCCAAAGATTCATTTGGTTCTGCCAGACTAAAATTAGATTATTAAAACCAGAATTTTATACTCACTCGATCCTCCTTTTGCCAAGTATTTGTTCTTTGCATAAAGGACAGAATCTAACATAGACTCAAAAAGAAGAAAATAGCCCTGTATAAAAAAGGAAAAAACAGTTTTTAGAAATATGCAATATCCTCACATGCAGATCAATTTAAATATCTGGGCTACTCTTTCAGTTTTAAAAAATTATATGTTTTGTCTCTGTCATATAATATTTTGTGAAGTCTGAAATTATTTTTTGCAGTAAGTCTCCACATAATAATTAATAAAAAATTGGGCCAGATATAAAGTGGATCCAGAAAGTTTATTACGGTAAAATATACTGAACCTTCTTTACCTGTGTTTCCATTTTCCAGACCACTGTTTCTTCCTCATTAAAAGGAAAATTTCAGATAGAAATTGTTAAGCCCTATAACTTCCTAGAATGTTGCAATATTAATCTAGAGCAGTGGTTCTCGATGAGATTTTGCCCCCTGGGAGACATCTGGCAATGTCTGGAGACATTTTTGATTGTCACTGGGGGTGGGGATGGAGGCATGCTACTGGCATCTACTAGGTAGAGCCAAGTAATGCTGATAAACATCCTACAATGCATAGTACAGGCCCCTGCAACAAAGAAATACCTGGCTAAAAATGTCAATAGAACTAAAGTTGAGAAATCCTAGTCTAGAACACCATTTCCCAGTGTTCCCTGCCCAATGATTTTCTCTTTTGTTTAAAAAGGGGGGGGGGGGGCGGACAGGGGAGTCATTAGTCAAAGAGGTTTGAGAAACACCAGATGGTATATCTTCTTTGAAGAGATTCATAATACAAATTAGCACACTAAAAGTTCTGAGTAGTGCTATGGTAAAGAGAACTGTTAAACATATTTTAAACAAATATTACCCACTTTTTAACTACAGACCTCTTTTTTCCGATTTAACATCTATCAACATCTTTCAGAACTAGTGTTGCTTGAAATACAGTTTACGAAACACAATCCTGATATACTCCAGATTTTTGAGTACAGTAATGAATCCTTTACCAAGAAAGGATAATAATCATAATACAAATGAAAAGAGAATTTGGGTGTCACAAATACACTACATTTTAATAGTATGCTATACCGTTTATTATAGAAATAACAAAGAAATCATGACTGAGGAATCAATGCCAGTTTCAGTTAGTTTGCCTCTTTCCAGGGCTCACGTCCCGACCTCCCTAAGCAGCAGGGAAATCCAAGTGCTCAGCACATAATACACTTTATTATTGCTTAGGGTGAACCAATATGAATTTTACCCTTGGCTTAGCATTCTAAATCAAAACTGTTCTCATCCATTCATTTGTTCTGTGCACAAATGACTGTCTGATGGGATAAATACAATATTATTTAATTACATAAACAAAAAATGTTTTAAAGGTTTCTCCAGAATAAGACAAACCTACAAACCCAGAATGGATAATCTTTACAGAAGATGAATAGCAAATTTAAATTTACAGAAAATACAGCTCTCATGCTTGAATCACTTAAAGAAACCTAATTAAACTGCCGCTAGCCACTCTACATTGGCATTTTACCTACTCCCACCAACACACTAATTCATTGATAAGAAAATAATTGCCTACAAAACAAAGACATAGCAAAAAAGCTTGTTTATCAATGTGTTCACATTAGGAAAAGAAAGGATTTGGTGAAAACTGTTTTTCTGGATAGAGTACTTCAGTAGTATGTCAAACCCTTTCAAGTTAGTTCCCCATTAATGTGATCTGTGTATTCAAAGAACAAAGGACTTGTAGAATTCAACTAAGAAATCTTTACTAATCTGACATAATTTATGCAGATCTAGGTACACAAATGCTTATAAATAGGCATTCATCCGTTGATTAAAGTGGATTATAATTTATGCCAGGGAATTATTAAAAGAAGGGCTTCCATTTACCTTATGGGAAAAAGATCGGCTGGCAAAACATGTTAAAAGATAGAGTGAAAAAAAGTCCCTATTTGCAAAACTACTGCATTTTAAAGTATTAGAATAAATAAAATAAAATAAAATAGTAAATTCAAACTTTAGTACAAATTAAGTATTCATTCTAGTCCTTTTTTTTTTTTTTGACAAAGGCATAAAATAGTAAATTCAAACTTTAGTACAAATTAAGTATTCATTCTAGTCCTTTTTTTTTTTTGACAAAGGCAAAAAAAATAGTTTGTTATTGGTCTGGCACTATGTCAAGTTGTTTTCTAGTATTACTCTTTCAAAGTAGTTAGCTAAATCTAAGTATTTTGCTTCCATATGCTCAAACTCCATCTTACTTCCATGCATTACAAACAAACCAAAAAAAAATCTTCAATCAGTAATTTAAAGTAGCTCCTTCTGGCAACTTCTCATTTATTGCATTTAAGATAAAAGTTTTTATTAGCCATGCATCAGAGATTAAATTACACTATATTTTAAATTGGTATTATGGTCAATATCAATAATAAAGAGGGTGGACTCCTGAATTGAAAACCCTTTTCTATGTATCCTTGTGCAAGTTAACATCATTACGCTTCAGTCTCATCTGTAAAGCAACAATAACAATGGTACTCTACTTCACAGAGTTATTGTGAGGATTAAATATGTTAATATGTGTAAAAGGTTTGGAATAATAAATGTTAGATGAAAAAATTATAAGCTATTTTAAAAATAAATTTTTAAAGGGCAAATCAGATATTTTAAATTGTGTTTAATAAATTGAAGAATAAAGATTTACCAAACTCTCCAGAATCACATAACATTTTATTTAGTGAATGGAACTATATCACAAGCTGTGAATTTGGACTGAAATTTCCAGTTTTTTTCTTTTTCAGGAGTCTTTCAAAATACATTTTCTTGTGTCACTAATTTTTTCAGACAAGCCAAGACTATGTGTATGTGTGCGCATACAAAATATATAAAAACACTCAAAATTTCTTTACAATTAGGAGATAGAATTCTAAAACCCACTGAAAATAATTTGTTCAAAATGACCAAATTAGTGCCAATTCCAACTATGAGATTCCTCCCACAAGGATAATCACAGGACTTTCCCTCCCAGGATAAAAAAACGCAACTTTACTTAATACTTTGATCCTTGATAATTTGTACTGAAGGCTTTCCTATGTCTGCTCCCATTTGAAATAATAAACACTAATATGCACTTTCCCACATATCTCATGATGTTTACTTTTAGCTAAGATTAGAATACTGATTGAACAATATTAGAGATAGTTTCTAAGGTCCTAACTATTTAAACAACCTAACTTTTTAAGGCTCTGACTAGTATTTAAACAAAAGAAAAATCAGTTAAGAGAGGTTAAATGATTTAAGCAATATATCTGGATAAATAATACTGGATAGTATTTAGCTCCCCTAACAATACAATGTCATTCAATTGCCACTGCTGCAAAACTCAACAGTGAAAGAGAGTACAAACAAAGAGAAGATAATCACTGGTAGCAAAAACACCCTTCCATAAATGCCATATCTTTACTTCCCATTTTTTAGAGTCAGCATTATTAGGACAGAGAATCTCAGAAAGCAGATGCTTTTGTTGAGACATGTAAAGGATTTAGCATAGTGCCTGGTACACAGTTAACACGTAACATATGACATGACTCTTTAATTTGACAGAAGTTACCCGTGTCAACTACTGTGGGGCAGAACTGGAACTAAAATGGATAAAAAGCAGAAGGCTACAGCAACTCTTTCTTCTTTCACCTTTTTCCATCTACCATCACCTTCTCTCTTCATTAATGTATCATGAAAAACAATACCCTCTTCTCCATTTATTTCTGATAATATCTTTTCACTCCAGTAGCAAGATCTTGCTTGCTTCTAATCTGTCAAAGTAGTTTCTAAACCTTAAGTTAAAGAATAATGGAGCTAGCAAATCAATGAAAAAGCATTCCTTCAAAACAAGAATAGAGTACACATCTCTTCATATTTAGGAGATAAGCCACATTTTTTATGACTCAATGATAACTGACAGTTTTACTGGTCATTCATTTCACTTGGTATCAGATATCTGCTCAACTGCTACCTACCTAGTCAAAAAGGACTTCTCTGACGTCCCTATGTAAAACATCTTTTTCCTACTTCAAGCTTCATTTCTTTATCCTGCTTTGTATTTCAGAACAGCACTTATAAATTAAAATATTATTTATTTTTATGTTTGTGTCTTTACTAAAACATAAGTTCCAAGAAGAGCAAGGACGTTGTCCATACTGTTTAAAGGAACATTCCTAAGGGCTGGAAATGTGCCTGGTACACAGTAGAAACTCAATAAGTAATTTTTGAATGAATTAATAAGAGTTATTAGTACTGTATATGTGTACAGTTGTATTTGTTAAAATGAAACAGTGTTTGCTTTTTGTTATTTTCTGGTACAAATTAAAATTAGTTACTTTTAGGGCCGAGCCCGTGGCGCTCCCGCCGCGGGTTCGGATCCTATATAGGGATGGCCGGTGCGCTCACTGGCTGAGCGCGGTGCTGCTGGTCTCAAAAAGGACAAAGACAAAAAAAAAAAATAGTTACTTTTAAAACTATGCTTTATTTCCTAAAATTAAAGCTGTAAACAATTGTGGTAATTGCCAAAATTCATTGTAGTGGCTTTATAAGGATTATCTCATTTTAATTCTTCCCCAAAGCATACTTATTGTTATTTCCATTTAATGGATGAAGAAACTAAGGTTTAGAAATGTTAAATAAGGTAGGATCTTAAAAAAAAGCTCATAGTCACACAAATAGTGAGTGAATATGACGGAATTTGAACTACAGAGGTCAAATTCTGAATCACTATTGTACGTTCCTTCTTAGATTGACATGCCTAATTGAAAACAAGATTTAGTATTTGTATTATAGTACATTTGTACTTAAGGATTCAAATATTCCAAAATGAAAAATTTCCCATAGAACATTAAATAAGATTAGAATTAACAACAGGTATGTGATTCAGAATATTTCAAAGTGATAGCTTAGTTGACAACTGGCTCTTAGCCACCACTCATTGTGAAAATATTAGTTTGAAAAATCAATGTACATACTAGAATATATGTAGAACTAATATATGACATTTATAAGATAAACTAATAT